CCATGAATATGTATGATCAATTATGTTTCAATAAAAAAATTCTTTAAAAAATAAGTTTTGCCAGTGAGCTAAAAAAAAAAAATGTTTTGTAGAGGTATAATCTACATACCATAAAATTCACCCATTTTAAGTATACATTCAATGATTTTAGTAAATTTAAAGAGTTGTAAATCATTAGCACAATCCAATTTTAGAATATTTCTATCACTCCCACAAGATCCCTTGTGACCATTTCCGGTCCCTCTCCATTCCCACCCGTGTCCCCAGGCACCTACAATTTTACTTTCTGTCTCTCTATATTTGCCTTTCCTGGACATTTCATAAAAATGGAATAGTACCTTCTAAGAAACTGTCAAACTGTTTTCCAAAGTGGCCGCATCATTCTACATTTTCACCAGTAATGTATGAGGTTTCCAGTTTCTCTGCATCCTTGCCAGCGCTTAAGTGATATGAAGTGGTTTTAGGTTTATTTATATCTTTAATTCCTCATTGTGGTTTTAGTTTTTATTTTTCTAATGACTAATGATGCTTAGCATCTTTCCATGTGCTTTTTAGCCTTTGTATACCTTTTTTGGTAAAGTGTATATTCAAATTTGGGACACTGGTATTCATATTATTAAGTTGTAAGAGGTCCTTTATATATTTCGAATACAAGTCCCTTTTTCATATATGATTTACAAACATTTTCTCCCAGTCTGTAGCTTGTCTTTTCATTTTCTTAATGTTGTATATTGAAATATAAAAGTTTTTAATTTTGATTAAGACCAAATTTATTAATTACACTCTTTTTGTTTCTTTTTTACTTCATGGTTTTAGTGTCAAGTCTAAGAAATCTTTGACCAAAGTAAAGTCATGAAGATTTTCTTCTATAATTTTAGTTTTAGCTCCATGTGTTCTTGAAGAACGTGTGTTCTGCTGTTTTTGTGCAGTGTTCTATGTCAGTAAGTTCAAGTTGTTTGAAAGTGTTATTCAAGTATTCTAAATCCTTACTGGTTTTCTGTCTTCTTGTTTCACCCAGTATCAACAGTGCAATATTGAAGCCTACAACTATTATTGTTGAATTGTCCATTTTCCTCTTCAATCTGATCACTTTTTGCTTCATATGCTTTGGAGCTTTGTTGTTAGGTGTGTGTATGTTTATAATTGTCAATCCCCCTGATGAATTGACCTTTTTATCATTATAATATGTCCTTCATTCTCTCCAGTAACATTTTTGACTTAAAGTCTATTTTGTCTGACATTGGTAGCCACTCCAGCTCACCTATGGTTATTGTTTACATGGTATATATTTTTCCCACTTTTTACTCTCAAACTATTTATGTCTGTGAATCTAAAGTGTGTTTACTATAGATAACATCTAATTGGATTTTTATCTACTCTGACAATCTCTGCCTTTTGACTGAAGTATTTAATCCATTCACATTTAGTGTTATTACTCATATGGTTGGATTTATGCTTGCCATTTTGCTGTTTGTTTTCTGTTTTCTTGTGTCTTTTTTTCTTCCTTTTCTCCTTTACTGCCTTCTTTTTAATTAAATTGATATACATTTGTAATTATCACACTCTAACTCAGAATAATATTAACTTAATTCCAGTCAGACATATACATTTTACTTCATTATAGCTTCATTTCATCCCACTTCTTTTCTGCCGTATTGTCATATATATTAAATCTATATATGTTGTAAACCCAACAATACAATGTTTTAATTATTGCTTTTTAGAATATCTCTTTTAAAAGTTAAGAGAAGAAAGGCAAAAATCATATATTTATAGAATCGTTTTTATTAGCCCACATATTTCCTAGATACTTGATAGAGTTTGGATGTGTTCCCAGAACTCATGTGGAAATTTGATCCCCAATGTGGCAGTGCTAGAAACTGAATCATGGGGGCAGATCCCTCATGAATGGATTAATGCTGTCCTTAGGAGGGGGGGGGGATTAATGAGTGAGTTCTCATTCTATTAGGTCCTGTGAGAGCTGATTGTTTAAAAAGACCCTGGCACCTTCTCTCTCTCTCTTCGCTTCCTCTTGCCATGTGACCTGCTTGTACCTACCAGCTGCCTGCCACTTTCCACTGTGAGTAGAACCAGTCTGAGGCCCATGCCAGATGTATCTGTCCCAGAATCATAAGCCAAATAAACTTCTGATCTTTATAAATTATCCAGTCTTAGGTATTTCTGTAATAGCAACACAAAACAGACCAATACAGTATTCTTCATTTCTTCTTGAGGTTCCAGTTACTGTCCGAGTTTCTTCCTTAGTCTAATATAACTCCATTCCCTCCCCACCTTTGGTGCTATTATTGGAATATGTATTACTTCTATACTTAAGTCCACAATGCAATTTTATAATTATTGTTGTATACAAATATCTTTACATAGGAGAAAAAAGGAAAAAATGTACTGTATGTTATAATTATCTACGTAATTACCATTAGTCGTGCTCTGTGGTTATTCATGTGGATTCAAGGTACTGTATCATGTCATTTTCTTTCAGCCTCAGAAAATTGCTTTTATATTTCTTGTAAGGCAGGTAGCAACAAATTCTCTCAGACTCTGCTTACCTGGGAACATTTTATTTCATCATCATTTTTGGAGAACAATTTTGCTCGATATAGAATTCTTGGTTGACAATTCTTTCTTTTTTTTTCCCTTACAGCATTTTGAATATGTCATCCCACTGCCTTCTGGCAGCCATTGTTTTTGATGAGAAGTCATCTCTTAATTTTTTTGTGGTTTCTTTTTACATGGTGAATTATTTTTCACTTGCTGCTTTCAAGATTTCTGTGTGGTTGTTGTTGCTGTTTATTTGTTCAGTGACTTACCTGGACTAACTCTGTGGGGTCTCTTTACCTTCAGTGTTATGCACAGTATTTTTAAATTTTTGTTTTCATTTTTAAGCCTTACTTCTTAGAGGTCAACAAGGTTTATTGGTTAGACAATGACTGGTTAGAGGTTGTGCTTAAACGCCTTGAGCCATTAAGTCTTCCACCATTTACTGGGAGATGCGTGTGGCTTGGAGAATGCATTCAAAGTTCAGGCAGTTTGCAAGTCTGTCTTGGCTTCTGCTTTCTGTGTTTGCAGGGCCTCATGCTCAGCCGAAATGAATAGCTTGCTAGTGTATTTAGCCTTGCACATGTGCACAGATTTCCAGATCATGAAGGGAATGTAGGATCTTATCAAGACCCATTTTGGACGTATTATTCTCCAGATCTCCTTGTGGAATTTCTGGCTGGTCTACAGGTTTGTTGCTTTTTTCAAGTATGTAGATCTCAGGCAGGCTGAGATGGTGGCCTTTCCTGTTATTGCCACTGAGCTCGCTATTGTTTTGGGCAATTCCCCAGGCTTGGAATTTTCTCTGTTCTGTTCTGAATAAAGTCAGTCTGCTGATGTTTCTGGCCTGCCCTTTCCTGGCAGAACTTTGGGGCCATAGAGTTGGGTAGATGATGGGAACAGCTCCAGGTTAAAATGTGACAGCCTCTCACTGTCCTTGTTGAGGTTCAAGAAATATTTCTGAATAAATGCTTTTCACTCTGTTCGATGCCTCTAGTCAATTTCCAGAGTCTTTGCTTGATTGTTTTTTTAACAAGTTTGTCCAGTTTTATTGTTGCTATTTTGGAAAGAGTACTTGCTGAGTGCATCATTCAGCCATTTTGGAAGTATCTGCCTCTCAACCCCTGGAAATAATTATGTGTAAAACAGAATTAGAAATTTAAACTTACTATAACCAAGTAGAAATAACTTTACGTTTATTTTGTTTTTGGATTGTCTGGTTTTTAGGGAGAAGCCAGATCGCTGAGTTTGAAGTAATTGTGGACCCCTTGAATCTGTGTATCTCTTTACTTTTCCAAGTGCTCCATTCAGCAAATATTTATTAAGCAGCTACTTAATCATCTTAACAGACCAGTTAGGTATGTCCTCCCTCCCTCCCCCATTTTACAGATGAGAAAAGTGT